ACGAATCGATTTATCGCTTTCTCTCAATCTGGCGTGGTCGATATGGTAGCGAGAAAGGCACGCAGGGGTAGGAGGCTGATAGCGGTAGAGGTTCACAGGTGAGGGGCGCTTCCGTTGGAACAACGCTCCGGTAACCAAGCACGCGGTCGAGAGAGAGGCTCTTGGAGACGATCGTCAGATGAGTCACCTCAGAAAAACAGCGTCTTCACGGTCCTTCTGCACATGCATGAGCGCATCTTCCGACCGGAGTGTATTGCGCTGTTGATCTACCTTCTTGTGTTGCGATGGACATGATGCGTCGCTAAATATACCCGCGTATCGTATCGTACTGTTATCCTACTTCCCAAGTGCCTCGGCCAGCATGGAGACGCCGCTGCACCGCGTCGACGACCTCATGTACGAGCTGCTCTGCAGTAGCGAGCTGACGCGCCTCTGTAGCGCTGTGGCGACCCGGCGCCTCCACCCGTCCGCGCTACAGTCGCTGCGCATTGACGGTGGACATTCTGGCGCGTGCCTGAGCCTGAATTGTGCTGTCTAGAAATCCTTGCCCAGCGCATGGTGTTTCCGCCGCTCGAGCAAAAAGACATTGCGGGCAGCGGGTTCGAAGCGCACACCAAGTACCTCGAGACGTTTGGCGAGTACGTGTTTGGACCCAACGAGAAGTGGGACGCGATGCGCTACATGGCGGTCCGAGAGCTCATGCGCGAGTGCGCATCGGCCAAGGTTCGAGCCTTCGTCATGCATGATGCATCGAGGACTCATAGTACACTCTACAGCGCAGCGCGATGCACGGCGCCTGCGTCGCGCGCGCGTTGGAGTGGATTGAGAGCACCGGGAACGAGCACGACGAGGTACAGCACCACTGTCATCTGAGTTGCGTGCGACGTTAGCGCGCTAGATGCTCCGTGCGCCGTCGCTCTCCAAGCTGAAGACTATCAACGTACGATCCTACATCGTTAGACATGGACGACTAAGAGTTGCTAGCTCCATCGCGGCGCGACGCCCAGTGACGCGCAGCCGCGTGTTTCGTTTGCGGACGCGCCAGTGCCCGAGCAACTACTTGTATTCGACACCCCTGTCCTCGTCGAAGCTTGCGTGACGAGGTTGCTAGCGCTACGAGCAGCGCGATCTTCGGACGTCCCACATTCATCGCATCGCAGAGCTCAAGGAAAAAGGCATCTCATTGCCACTGCCACCGCCCGTACACCGCTCTTCTGTCGTCGGCGTTTGTTGCGAACGCGGGGTAGGTGGCGACAATGGAGCCGCCCAAAAACAACCAAACCGAGCTCCTCGAGCTTGAGCGGCAGCGCGCCGGCTACAAGTTTCATACCCCCGAGACCGTCGCCGAGGTTGAGGCGTCGACAAAAAAAGACAAGCTGCAACACAAACCATCAATTTCCGTGCGTAGATTGCGCTCAATGAAGTGTGGCGGCAGCGACGCGACGAAGACGCGCACACCAAGGTGCAGCAGGACGAGGTCCAATCCGCACTCTTCCAGTGGACAATGGCGCGCAGTCGCGACGAAGCCGAGCTCCTCCGCAAACAAGTAGACGCATCTCATTCTATGGATCCGCGTGCGGTGACGGCCACGCGTAGGAGTCGTCGCGCATGATGACGCACCGGCAGTCGACGCCGGTGCTGCCGTCGTCTCGACCAACAACGTCGAGCAACCAAGATGACATGGATCTACTACTGCGCCCGACGCCAACCAAGAGTCTCATGGGCACGGCCCCCGTCGTCATCAAAAAGACCGCGTCGACCAACGCCGGCATGCGCTTCCGGAACCCGCTGCCCGCCAACTTTAAGCGCATGGCCAACCGCGATACGCTTGCCGTGCACGCGCCGTAGACACCGTATCCTCACCACGAGGGTTAGGTCATGTGTGTTGTTTGTTGGGTAGGACCTCGATGGGTCGAAGCTGCTCGATGAACGATGTGGGGCCGATGCTGGTCGAAGCCGACGCGCCGCCGCCCGCGTCGCACTACCCGGCCTCGTACATGCTCGGTGTACCTGCCGAGGCGGCCAAGACGCCGCCGCTCCAGCGTGTCAAGCGAGTGGGTGCACGAGATGTGGGTACTTTGACAACGACATGCGACCATCGATAGAAAAAACCCAAGACGGACGTTCGAGGGCTCGTGCCGGCGCAGCCTCAGCCGTTGGACTCGGAATTCCGAGTCTTTCACGCTGCGACGACCGCGCGCCAGTGTCCGTCGGTACAGCACAATAGAGTGTGAAGGAGGTTGCTGGAATCACCATATGGATAGGTGCGCACCGAGGGCAAGAAGAGCCATGGCATGAGCGCGCTCCGAAGAGAGGAGCTTAACGAAGTCGACGCGATCCGCGCCGCATTTGAGCGCCACCACATACACTTCAACGCGCACGTCTTTGAGCGTGCTCTCTTGACGCCCGAGGACAGGCCTGGCCTCGAGTGCGTCAAGCGCCTTCCGACCGCGGGCTCAAAACTACCCGAGAATCCGCTCGGAAGTTTCCGCCATACGTTGCACAAGGTAGTACGCTTCCGAGTGTACAGATTGTCATGTTGGCACTAGAGCAAGGAAGGCAAGTCAACCAAGAAGAAGAAGAAGACCAAGAAGCGCAAGTCGGGCAAATCCAAAGGAAAGAAAGCCAAAGCCGCTTCGTAGCGCTTTCATATCAGTCACCATCAACCATCTTCTATTATATCGCGTTAAAAAGCACCGATGCGCAAGCGTAGTACATACAATCATGGGCTGTGTCTCGATCCCGCCAACGTCATTTCGAGGACACGTACAACCCAAAAACCATAGTGGTCGATATGGGAAACCGACCGGGCCAGGCATTCTGTACATCAAAACGTCGTCGAGGCTAGTTAATTGCCACCGATATCACTCTCTTGTGCCTTGCACACAGTGTGAGTTTTGAAGAATATTGTTCAGAGCTACTCATGCGTGGACACAGCTCGTCGACCATCAACCGCATATGACTGGCGGGGTAGGGGTAGCCTCCAAACTTAGACATCGGTCATCAAACGACCGAGCATGCGGGCGACCGATGGCATGCGCTATCGCAACACGCGCCCGGACAGCGTATCGAAGCGGATCCCTGGTGACGGCTTTCTTCGCGCGGCGTCGCTCAAGGTCAAGACCCTCTCGTCCCCTTTCGTGGCGGCGGCACCGACACCTCGACGCAAGTCGTCCACGCACACACCACCGCTCGCGTCGCCGCGCAACATTCGAGACACCATGTATCCTAACGCCATGGCATGGAGCATTATCATGTCACGCTTTTCGTGTCCTTAGCTCGTTTGCAGAAGTGTGGGCGGCCAATCAAGTGCCAGACGCGAGCGATCCCAATGATGACGATGGCGACAACAGCAGCACATCGCACGAGGTCACGAATGACGATGCCAAGAGCGCAACGTCGTCGTGGGGCAGTATTCTTGTGTTTTGTCCTGCAGGAGGAATGGCTCCATCCCCATCGTGAGTAGGTCACGTCGAGAGGCACGGCCATGCGGTGCTGCAAGCGCAACGCAGGCGAACACTCCGACTCGATGGCCACGGTGACGAACTGACGGCGCGCCTCCACGGCCGACCGGTCTCGGCCACGACGTACCGAGAGTGGCAGCAAAACGACGACGCGGGTTTTGCCAGCAGCGACGACGACAGCGATATCGACGCCGCAGACCCGGGAGTCCGTCCTTGGCTCTTTCTATAGCACTGTACGACCGTGGTTTCGATATCTACTAGGAAGTCGATATCGGAGAGAGGCATGGAATACCCGAGCGACCGCGCACCGCGACATCGGCCCTCGTGCGCGGCCTTCAGCGCAAGTTGC